AAAGAACATCAACTTGAAAAGAAAAGTAAAGAAGGTAATAAGGAAGCTTAATTGGATAGGATTGATGCAGATATACCTGTGCTTTGTAGCAGCAAACATTACTACAATTATTAGATTAACACCTAGCACAGCAGCTGCCCCTGGTAAGAGATGAATAAACCTCAGTCTCATAATTTCTTTTCAGGAAATAAAAATCAATCACTTTGTTTTTCCATGTGTAGAGAAAAGGGATGTATGTGTGGTGAAGAAAGGGAAAAAAAAAAGCAAGGATAGTCCAAGCATGAAAAAATAGCCAGAATATGTAGTAGGGCACACTATCATTCTAACAGTGTATATAAGGGTATAAACAATCAAATGTAAAAAGCACAATGAAAAACTAAAAATTGAAGGCAGATGTAATAAGGAAGCTCTAGAATAGAAAAACCTTCTTTATATATAATAATAATTATAATACTATCATAAGCAAAAACTAAGTGCACTGAAAATAAAAGATACAAATGTTACTTACTGCAGGTAATGAAAATTGAAGTAGGTGCCTACCTTACTCTATTATTGTGTTGGAAAGTGGATTGAGTGGGTGAACAGAAACCCTTTTATTCTCCATTATCCAAAACTAGACACTAACAATATTTGCTTGTTTAAATTTAAATTTAAATTCATTAATGAAAACAAAATGAATTTAAAATGCAGTTTCCAGTGGCACTAGCCACATTTCAAGTGCCCAACAACAAGAGTATTAAGACAGCATGGATACAGACCGTTTCCATCCATTGCAGAAAGAGCTACTGGACAGCACTACTTTTTATCTTCACACATCCAAACAGCTCTCCATTACAAAACACAGAACCAGACATGTATCATCAATCTGTTTTCAACCACTAATACAGGTGTAATTTTAAGACCACATTCCAATAACATGAAGGAACCCTAGTGGCCTAATGGTTAAGCACTCAACTAACCAAAAGGTCAGCATTTCAAATCCACCACCTGCTTGGCAGGAGGAAAGACGTGGCCATCTATTCCCATAAAGATTACAGCCAGAAAGTCCTTCAGAGCAGTTCTATACTGTCACATTGTATTGCTATGGGTCAAAAATCAACTTGGCAGTACCTAACAACAACATATTAGCATGTGCCATAGTACTATAAAGTTTTAATGCTAATCTGAATACTCTACTTGAGAAATAAAGATTTGTGGTAGATGTCTATTTTCCTCATTGCTATTTCCTAAAATTAAAATGAAGCTAAAAATCTGTTTGGATGAACATTATCTGGAACCAGCAATAAAAATTTATGTGTCATTTAAAAAAATGTTATAAATGTTTACTGATACAAAATAAGAGAATAGTAAAAATCATTTTCTTGCATATATTTATTCACTATTTCTACATGTAATAATAATAAGAAGAAGACACTAAAGGAAAGGGAGAGAAAAATTCCATTCACATCATCAGCAAATGAAAAAGAAGCATGGAAATAGTAATTTCTACAAACAAACCACTGACTCCCTGTACCAAAAATTGGTTAACATTCAACCATTTCAGGAAGTCGCATATGATCAAGAATTGATGGTACTTAAGCAAGAAGTCCAAGCTGCACTGAAGGAATTGGCAAAAAGCAAGGCTCTAGGAATTAACAGAAAACCCACTGAGATGTCTGAACAAATGGATGAAACGGTGAAGTGCTCATTCATCTATGCCAAGAAATTTGGAAGACAGCAACCTGGCCAACCACCTGGAAGAGATCTACATTTAGGTTCTTTCCAAAGAAAGTGAGGCAACAGAATGAGTAAATTATTGAACAGTATCATTAATATCACATGCAGGTACACTTTTGCTGATGATAATTCAAAACTGATGGAAAGGAAACTGCCAGAAATTCAAGCCAGAGCCAGAAGAGAATACGGAACAAGGGATAGCACTGCTAATGTCAGATGGATTTTGGCTTAAAGCAAGGAAGGCTAGAAAGATTTTTCCCTCTGTTTTGACTTCAAAAAGATCCACTATTCAATTCTGTGGATCATAATAAATTATGGATACCACTGAGAATGGAAGCTCCAGAACATATCACTGTGTTCATGCGAAACTTACATAAAGACCAAAAGTCATTAGAACAGAAAAACAAGAAACTGCCTGGTTTAAAATCGGGGCAAGCATGCACCAGAGTTGGATACTTTAATCATACTTAGTCAATCTGTATGCTGAGCAAATAATCCAAGAAGCTGAACTATATGAAGAACGTGTTATCGGGATCCAATCAGAGAAGGACTCATTAACAACTTGTGATATGCAGACGACACAACGTCTCTTGCTGAAAGCAAAGAGGAGTTGAAACACTTACTGATGAAGATCAAAGACTATAGCTTTCTGTATGGAACACCTCAACATAAAGAAAATAAATATTCTCATAACCGGACCAATAAGCAACATTGCAATAAATGGACAAAGACTGAAGTTGTCAAGGATTTCACCTTACTTCAATCAATGCCCATGGAAGTAGCAGTGAAGAAATAAAACAATGTACTACATTGGGCACATCTACTGCAAAAGTGTTAAAAAGTAAAAATCTCACCTCAAGAACTAAGGTGCCCCCGATCCAAGCCATGGTATTTTCAAATGCCTCCTATGCATGTGAAAATCAGACAATGAATAAGGAAGATTGAAGAAGACCTGATGCATTTGAATTATGTTACTGGTGGAGAATATTGAATATACCATGGACTGTCAGAAGAACAAACAAATCTTGTCTTGGAAGTATAGCTAGAATGCTCTTTAGAAGGGAGGATGGCAAGACTTCATATCATACACTTTGGGTATATTATCAAGAGATCAGTCCCTTGAGAAGGATATCATACTTGGTAAGGTAGAGGGTTAGCAAAAAATAAGACCCTCAAAGAGATGGATTGACACAGGGCTGCAACAAGGGGTTCAAATATAGCAACAAATGTGAGGATGGTGCAGGACCAGGCAGTACTTCATTCCGTTGTACATAGGGTCACTATGGGTCGGAACCAACTCAATGCCACCTGGCAACAACCTACTTTAAATGGGAATTTAAGTAGAAAGGTGATCAAAACACAGGAAAGAGAGTCCAAACAAGTCTAATACTTTCAAAATATAGTCATATCTAAATGTGTATGATATATATTTACAACAAAAAAGAGCAGTTTCTAAACTTCTTATGTATAACCAGACACCTCATGGGATTTGGTTGCTAGGTTTAGATTTTTAGGGTCAAGGTTTTATGGGGCATTCCATAAATATATTCCATAAATAATATTTTGTTTAATGCTTCTGTTTTATGCCTTAATTTGTGGCACAGTGCTTGTATGTTAAAAGCTTACAAGCTGCCTTCCAAGGTAAAACAACTGGTCTGTATTCACTTGGAGCAATAAAAGAAGAAGAGTCAAGAACAGGAGGAGGAAATGGAACGTATGGCTAATTGCCTCCATGCACCACTGCCTCCTCTGTATGAGATCAGAACTGGACTGTTCCCAGCTACCACTACACTTCTGTAGGAACATTTTGATCCAAAATTCTATAGAAGAATCCTGATCAAAATAAGGAAAAATGTGGAACAGAATTTAAAATTCTCAGAGAATCTAGACTTTCTAGAGTTGTTAAGGCTAGATAAACCCCCTACTGTCCTAAGATATCCTTAAACCTGAAGTATACTTTAAACCAAACAGTAGTTTAGCTTAATTAGTGAAATATGTCTACCTTGAGTATGCTGCTCTTTTGAAGAATTACATATATAAGATCAAGTTGACAACAGTTAGTTGATCATGTTAGATAAGCTTAAGGGAGCAGTGAGTCTGTTAATGGTGCAGGAAAAATTTGAAGGGGCACAACAAGGACAACTGTACAATTTAAAGAATAAAATTCTTATCACTGAATTATACAAGTAGGAATTGTTGAATATGGTGTATATTTCACTGTGTGTATTTTCACCAAAAAACGAAATTGCTAATTGCTAAAAAAAAAAAAAAGTCATATCACGGGCACCTTTGTTTAAAAAATACTGAGATATCAGATATGTGTAGCATGGAAAGATGAACCATTGATGGAGTTGTACACAAACCCAAAGGTTTTCAGAATCTGAAGTGTAAGGGAAACAGGACATTTCTTACTACAAACAGAGTAGTGAAAAGGAAAAATTATTAATATTGATAGAACCAAAATATCATAAAAAAGGTACCTGATTACCTGTATACTTTTTATTTTTTTCAAATTTTTCATTGCCTTGAATGTTACACAATAATTGCAATTATTTATCACTAAAATTTTTGAAATGCACTAATAATACATAGAAGTACATAGAGGAGGATTAAACATGTGGCAATATGGTCTACATTCTGAGATTCTGAGAATTCTTTGGTTTGTGAGGTTTCAACCAGATTACCATCATCCTCCTAGGGACAGATTACATGTGAAAAGCAAATGAACTCATAAAAATAACCTTGTCAATCCAACTTATCAAATGCCAATATATATTATTCTACATTAAGTTATTCAACAATAACTTTTCTCTAATTTTAATAATAAAAACTCTCAAAAAAACATCAAGCAGGTATTCTAAAAAAACTCAACCCATCTAATTTCACTTCTTCCTTTTCCAAATGCATTTAAAAAAAAAAAGAAAAAAAGCATGATTTCCATTGCTCTTGAGCACAATTTTCTGACTTTTAGCCAAAAAAGCAAGACTATAAATCTACATAAGAACTATCTTAGAGGAAAAATTAAAAAACAGAGAGTAAGAAGCTAAAGTTAATGCCCCAGCAAAAACAAGTATCAAATGCTAGGGTTAGAAGAACCCTAGAAATTATCCAGATCAAACCTCTTTTACATAACAAAGTCAGGGCATGGCAAAACATTGTCCAGTAAGAAGTTGAGAATAGTGTTGAAATTTGTAGAGCAGGTATATGCGAAATGCAATCAACATCAGTACCATCATATATTTTAAAACACAGAAATTAAATTTAATATAAATCTAAGTACTTACATCAAGAAGTAACTCGTCTTTTGTTTTAAGAGGAAAATTCTTACTCTTCTTAACTTGTAAATTATCTTCTCCATCTGACAGCACTGGAGAAAGTGATATATGAGAGGAAGATGAAGATGAGGAAGAAGATGAGGAAGAGGAGGAGCTTGAACTATCTGAATCTGTTTCACTGTAGGGGAAAAAAAAGTTAAACACTTAGTAAAATATTATTATAATGCTATTAGAGTAAGATTATTCAACCTGGAAATAGCAACTTTATTACATGTATGAAACTAGCATTGAAATTGACTATAGTACTTGAAATGTACTTGAAATGTTACAGTACCAGGAAAATTGTTTTAATCTACTAATAACATTTTCAAAACTATTATAGTCCAGACCTCATTAGAATACTTCTATATACTACACATCTATCTGACTATACTTAAGCACATTATAAATGACTGGCAAGAGTGAGCTCTGGGAAAGAACCTCTCTTGGTCACCAATAAAAAGATGACTTAAATGCCAAGTTTCTTCAGACAGCCTGAACTCCTCAGCTACCAACCATGAAAACTTCTCTCTGAAAACTCCTTTAGTCCTTATGGTGCAGTGAATTATTTGGTGTGGCTCTTCTAGGCATGTCCTTTGTAACTCCCACCAGATGACTGGGAGGAAGGATGCAAATGTAAGGTGCTTGTGGCCCACCAAGGGGAAAAGACAGCTTATCAGTAATGTAAATAAGGTACATGGCACCCTTGTGGGGATAGGACTATGGACTCCTAACATAGGGATTGGTTAGTTTTGCCATTCTGCTAGGCTTAAAATGAGCCTCCTAGAGGCAGAAGGGGTGGGAGGAGATCTTACTGCCATCAAGAGAAAAGAACTGTAGGTGGAATACAGCACATCCTTGGACCCCCAAAATCCCAACACTGGACTTCCTTGTCAAAGAGACAGCAGAGAGGACCAGGAGAGGGGCCGCGGCAGCAGAATGAAGATACCAGCTTGAGACAGAGCACTGGGCTTGCTGACTCATGGAGCAAGAAAGGTGAGTGAACACTGGGCTGGAGGCTTGCTGGCAGAATGAGGTGCTGCTAAGTGCACCTATCGGCAGAGCTAAAAGAGCTTTGTAAAACTTGTGTGAGCCCACGGGACCACAGTCGCAGGGGACATCAAGCTCAATTGGCATAATAACATACTACACAAAACATTGTTCCACCTCCTACTTTGGCAAGTAGAGACTGGGATCTTAAAAGCTTTCAAGCAGCCATCTAGATGCAATGATGAGTCTCTCCTCATCCAGGACAAAGAAGAATGAAGAAGACCAAAGATTCGTGGAAACAATTAATTAATCCTAGAGACTGGTACACCACATGACCCACAGCCTATATGACTATGAGACCAGAAGAACTAGATGGTGCCTGGCTACCGCTGTCAATGACTCAGAGGGGGCTCTATGTAGGAGATCCTGGATAGAGAGGGAGAACAATGTGGAACAAAACTCAAAATCATTTGGAGGAAAAAAATAAAGGGGGGCGGGGGCCAGGTTTGCTGGTCTAAGAGAGCCTGGTGGAATCACTGAGACTATGGCCCCTAGATGCCCTTCAGGTCTGGAATTGAACTCACACCCGTGGTTTCCGGCCAAACAGAAAATAGGCATATGAGTTGAACATTTACCTCAGGTAGATACACTCCTTGGAGAGAACAATCATGGGAGAAAGAAGGACTGCTTATGCACAGGGAGACAGCTCAGGGAGCAGGAGTCCATGGAGGGGTGGACACTGGGAAGAGGTAACTATGGGGAGGAAGTGGGAGGGGAGCTGTTGCATTGTGATAAACTGTGGTCAACGTCATGAGACAAAGTGTATGTGAACTGCTGTATGGAAAGTAATTTGCTCTGTAAATCTTCACCCAAATCACTAATTAAAAAAAAAAAAAAATGTTGGCAACAAAAACAAAAAGAAAAAGAAAATATCATAGTTTGGATTAACCAAAAACAAACCAAACCCACTGCTGTCAAGTAGAACCCAACTCATAGTGACCCGTCCTTGAGTTTCTGAGGTGGTATCACTACGGAAGTAGAATGCCCAACCTTCCTTCCGAGTAGTGGCTGGTGGGTTTGAACCACCAGCCTTCTGGTTAGCAGTCAAGTGCCTTAGGCACTATGCTACCAGAGCTCCCAGTAACATTACATAGGGAATTATTATTAGTTTTGCTATGTATGATGGAAGCTCTGGTGGGGTAGTGGCTTGGGCACGTGACTGCTAACCAGAAGGCTGGCAGTTCAAACCCATCATCCACTCCTCAGAAGGAACACCAGGCATCTACTTCCATAGAGATACCACCTCAGAAACCCAAGGAGTTGTCACTATGAGTCAAATGAACTCAATGGGAGTGAGTTCGGCTTTTTGGTTTGGTTTATGTATAATAAACCAAAACCAAACCAAACTTACTGCCACTTAGTCGATTCTGACTCACAGCAAACCCTTCTGGGTTTCCAAGGCCATAAATATTTATAGAAGTAGATTGCCCAATCTTCCTTCCGCAAAGTGGCTGGTGGGTTTGAACCACCGCCTTCTGGTTAGCAGTCAAATGGCTTAGGCACTATGCCACCAGAGCTCCTACAATAATATTATGATTTTGTAAGAGCCTGTCCTCTTAGAGAATGAATACTGAAATATTAAGGTATAAAGTTTCAACGATATCTGTAAATGACTTCAAACTCTTTCAATAAAATGTATATGTGTGACATTCATAGTTCCAAAATATTAATAATGGTTAAATCTAACCATTAAAAACTACTATAACTGTTAAATCTGGTTATGAGAATGCATTGTACTAGTTTCTACTTTTTATTAATAGTCAAATACACAGAGAAGTCTAAAAAGTTTTTCCACAGATCTACACTATGTACAAGATAAAGGCCATGCTCCTTAGCATGACATCCCAGAGCCCTCTGCACTCAGGTTTCTGGTAACCTTCATAAGCTCATCTAATGCCACTCCTCACACAAGAGCCTCCATCTGTCATACAAACAGTCAAATTTCCTCATCCCCTTGTATTTTCACTACCTCATGACATTATTTATGCTATTTCCTTTGCTAATAATGTCTTCAATGAGAGGAAATTCTACTCCTATTTATAGGGCCAACTCAGCTATTACCTCTTCTGAAACTGCTCCACACTCAACAAAAGTACAACCATTTACCTTCTCCTATAGTTTCCAAGGAGCCCTAGTGGTGGTGCAATGATTAAGTGTTTGGTAGGTTGGCAGTTCAAACCTACCAGGTACTCCTCAGAAGAAAATGTAGCAGTCTGCTTCCCTTAAAGTTTACATCCTTTACAACTCTGTGGGGCAGGTTCTACTGTCATAACGGGTCACTATGAGTCAGAATCAACTTGACATCAGTAGGTTTAGTTCTAGGTTTTCCCTAGTTTTTAATAACACTTTTTTCAAATTAGCTAAGTCCCATTCTACACTACAATACGTTGAAAAGCAGTTCTTTTTAGTTGTATTTGTTGTTGTTGTTGTTGTTTGCCGTCGAGTCAGCCCTGACTCATAGCGACCCCTCCTTGGGTTTCCGAGGCAGTATCACTACGGAAGTAGGATTGCCCAACCTTCCTTCTGAGGAGTGGCTGGTGGGTTTGAACCGCCAGCCTTCTGGTGAGCAGTCAAGTGCCTTAGGCACTATGCTACCAGAGCTCCTCTAGTTGTATTATGATGTATTAAAAGCAAACATCATGTATATCCGTCAAAACATTGCCTAGCAAATATCTTCTCGCTTTCTCAAATTGTTGGTGCCATCTGCATCACCCACAAAGGGCCAAGAGCCATGTTCTGACACCAAGTTCTCCTTACTATTATGATATTACAACCCAAAGTCTTCCTTCAACACCTGTCCCAGAATCATCTACTTCATTCTCCTAGTGACAAAGACTCTGAAATCTCACAAGATGACTGTAGTCTAAGTACTGCTTATAAGTGCCTTACTTCCCTCTCTTAATCTATTTCATAGTTTGGTCCTATCCTCAAATCCTTCAGGATCACTTTTCCATTCTTACTGTCAGTCAATGACTTCCCTGAAAAAAGAAAAATTCTCATCTTACCACCAAACCTACACACCACCACACATCAATTCACATAGTATTGTCTTTATTCCTTTTACAAGGGAAGAAGTTTTCCCTCTTACTAGGGCAAAGGTCAATTTCTCCACTTGGGCACAGGATTTCATTTCATTCAAAGCTGACTCCTTTCTATTATTACTAACATGAATCTCGCTCTGTCTTGTATCATTTCTATCAGTATACAAACATTCAGTAACACCACCATTTAATCCCTCCAGTTATCACTTCATTTCTTCCCTTAAAAATTCATGTATTATTGTTGTTATATGCCATTGAGTTGCCTCCAGTTGCCTCCAACTCATACAGACCCCTCCTTGGGTTTCTGAGGCAATATCACTAGGGAAGTAGATTGCCCAATCTTCCTTCCGAGGAGTGGCTGATGGGTTTGACCACCAACCTTCTGGTTAGCAGTCAAGTGCCTTAGGCACTAGGCCACCAGAGCTCCCACCCAGTTGATTCCTTTTTACCTAGCCCACTGCTGATCCATTAGTAAGCATGATGAGTGTAAGCTCAAAATACTTATTCCAGGCAACCATGGTCATTTCATGACCTATTGGAACATTTTTCCAGCTATTTCTATATCTGTCCCTGTTCCACTTGTTTCTCTTTCACTCTTTCCCTAATTCAAATCTTTCTTCACAGACCAAAGCTTATTAGAATGTTAATTGAACATGTCATTTCCCTGCTTAAAACTACTCAACAGTTTGCTTCTCTAGCACTTAAAATTAAACTTTAACATGGCTACAGGTCGGGCTCTACAGTGTGCAGTACGGATTACACTTCAACATAAAGAAAAAGAAAATCCTCACAACTGGACCAATAAGCAGCATCATGAAAATGGTTTCTTATTACTTGGCTCCACAATCAACACCAAAACCAAACCAAACCAAACCCACTGCCAATGAGTTGGATCCAACTCACAGCGACCCCTCCATGGGTTTCCGAAGAGGTATCACTATGGAAGTAGATTGCCCAACCTTCCTTCCGAGGAGTGGCTGGTGGGTTTAAACCACCATACTTCTCGTTAGCAGTCAAATGCCTTAGGCAATACGCTACCAGAGCTTCCCCCAAAAGAACCAGTCAAGAAATCAGAGGGATTACACTGAACAAATCTGCTGCCAAAGACCTCCTGAAAGTACTGAAGAGCAAAGATGTCTCTTTGAAGACTAAGGTGTGCCTAACCCAAACCAAGGTGCTTTCAATTGCCTCATATGCATATGAAAGCTAGACAATGAATAAGGAGAAGAGTTAATGCTTTTGACTTGTGATGTTGCTGTTCTTGTGTGCCACTGACTCAGACCTGACTCATAGTGCCCCTCCTTGGGTGGTATCATTTCGGAAGTAGATTGCCCCATCTTCCTTCCAAGGAGTGGCTGGTGGGTTTGAACTGCCAGCCTTCGGGTTAGCAGTCCAGTGCTTTAGCCACTATGCTACCAGAGCTCCCATAGGCACTATGTTGTTGTTGTTGTTATGTGCAGTCGAGTCGGCCCCGACTCATAGCGACCCCTCCTTGGGTTTCTGAGGCAGTATCACTACGGAAGTAGGATTGCCCAACCTTCCTTCCGAGGAGTGGCTGGTGGGTTTGAACCGCCAGCCTTCTGGTTAGCAGTCAAGTGCTTTAGCCACTATGCTACCAGAGCTCCCATAGTGTCACTAAAAGTCAGAATCGACTCTCCATGGCAGTGAGTTTTTGTTTTTTTTGTTTTGTCATCTATTAAGTAGCCCACATAACACACTCAAATATTTGTAGATAATGTTCAGTGTGGTTTACTAACATCCTACATGCTCCAGCTCTATCACAAAAGTTTTGTATTAAAAGCACAGGTGAAAAAAAAAAAAAAAAAGTTCTTATAAAACGTGTGCAGATCACAAAATAGTAAGTAATAACAATGTTTAACTAATTTCAAAAGCACATGTTCCCCACTGGATTCTGCCAGTCAACAACTGTCAGGCTCCAACTCAGAAACACACAAAATAATCCTTTTCATAATTTTGAATTCACCCAGCTCAAAAACAAGAGCATAAAATACACCCACACACGTGCACGCGTGCTAAGCCTAATGAAAAAATTCACACGAGACACAAAACTCAAAGGTTACCACCTCAGAGATACATGGTAAATACAATAGTTATGGAAATAATCTAGTATCTTGAGGTGTTTTATATTCTAACTAAAAGTATCATGGTCTATATACTGGCCCTTTCAGATTACTAAATTTAGGGAAATAAGGCGAATTCATTACTCAACTAGAGATTAACAACGTGATTTGTAACGGAATGGGCGGTGCCAGTTACATATCAACACGTGCGCCCAGAGCATCAGCGACCTCCCCTCCCTCCCGCACCCACGAGGGCAACCAATTGGCCCCCTTGCCCTGGTTCCTCCCGGCAGCCATACAAGCCGTCTCCCTCAGTTCCGCAACTGGCAAACAACCGACCTGTCTGAGTCCGAGTCCGAAGTCTCCAAGGAGTCCGGGGTCCTCGCCAGCTCTGCTGCAGCCAGACCTATGGCGCAGTTCCCGCCGGGTGGCAGTTCGGGTAGTGAATGCGGGTCCGGACTCCTGTTGGCGGCGGAGCTCAACTCGTACTGAGCCACCTGCTCCACTCCAGGCTGAGCCTCTGCTCTTTGTCCAGTGTCCGGTGACGCCTCACCCGACTGCTGCGGTGCACGTAACTCTGGCTCAAGACAGGAGCCTGGAGCTGGAGCCGCCAGACCTTCCCCAACAGCAAGGCCGTTGACACTGAATTTCAGAGTTTCTAATTGAGCGGCAGCGGCCTCCACTACCTCCATTACGCCGGGCTGGACCCCAACTCGTGCTCACGTTGTTGGCCCGCGGACAAGTTCGCCGTGTGCTAGGGAAACAATAAAATAACCTAAGCGGCAGACACAATATCTACCGCATCCAACTTCCCGCGTTTCTCCGGTAATTTACACGCAGAGCAATCCTGAGGCATGCCCGCTCAGTTTGCTCAGGGGCACTTCCGGCAAAGCGTGTGACGTAAGGCGAAGCGACGGCGCTCTCCGGGGGCGGGACGGACTCTCAGGACCTGTGAAAATCGGATCTTGGTAGGCAGGACCTTATCTTGCCTCTTCCAAGACATCTTTGCATCCTTGTCTCCCATCTCAAGGCCAGAAGGCTGAAATTTCGTATTGCTGAGTCTGGGTCAGTACTACTCGAAGCAGTACTACTATGAAGGATTATAGGGCAGGGGTGATGCCTGAAAGTGCCATGCTCTGTACATCGGAAACTTGTTCCAGGAAGTCTTAAGACATTTATAATAAGTTCACTAAAGTTGGAAGAAGTTAAAGAGCTAAATGAGTAGCAAACACTTTGATGGTTCCATTTTTCCCCAAAAGCACTCTATGAGAGCAGGAGTGTGGATGGAATTTTGCTGTTTGTTGCTGTCTATGAGTAAATAAAAAACTCACTGCCATCAGGAGCAGCAGCTGGTGGGATCGAACCGCGGAACTTTTCGTTAATAGTGGAATGTCTTAACCACTGCGTCACCAGAGCTCCTTGTCTATGAGTAAGAGCACCCCAAATTAACAAGATATGAGATGGTGGCTATGGTAAATTTGAGGATGAAACTCCCTTTTGAGTCAAAAGTAACCTTTGCAACAGGAATACAGCCTATTATTCCTATAACTCTCCATTGTACACTGAGAAAATTACTTAAGTCAACAATTTCAGGAAACAATTTTATTTTATTTGCTTACAGGTTTTGTTTGCTGCCAAGGAAGCAAGGTCCAAAAGAATTGTCAGAACAGATGGCTACTAAAAACAAACTTTGGAATAACACATATCTTATCTGCAGTCAGCTCTGGTGGTGTAGGGCCTAAGGCATTTGACTGCTAACCAGAAGGCTGGCGGTTCAAAGCCACCAGCCACTCCTTGGAAGGAAGGTTGGGCAATCTACTTCCCTAGTGATACCTCCTGGGAAACCCAAGGAGGGGTTGCTATGAGTCAGATCTGACTCTACAGCAGTGAGTTTGGTTTGGTTTGGTATCTGCAGGCACACAAAGAACATGTCATAATTGTTTTGAGGCCAGATGCACCTAATTTCATTATTACTTGGTAACTTTAAAAGCCAACGTTAGAAAACTATGCAGTCACCTACTAATCAGATGTAAAATCAGCCACTTTTGTAACCATTATCTAAGTCAACCAATCACTGAATTTTTACTGAATTTCATTGTATTTGGCAGGCATACTTGTCAGGAACTGTGCAAAAGATTTTAGAAAGTACTCACTGAGAACTTACATGCTTTCCTCAGTAAATAGATCTTCACAGACAGTTAGCAGGCCCCTGGGGGCACAGTGGTTAAACTTTCCCAGGCATGACTGCTAAACAGTTTGGCAGTTCCAACCCACCAACCATTCTGTGGTAGAAAGACAAGTCAATCTGCTTCCATAAAGAGTTACAGCCTTGGAAACCCTATGGGCAGTTTTACTCTGCCCATACCACTATTGGTCATTAAGTGGTATAGTGCCTAAAACATTTGACTACTAACCAGGAAGTTGTTAGTTTAAACCCACCAGCCACTCTGAGGAAGCAAGACTGGGAAATCTACTTCTGTAAAGATTTACTACCTTGGAAACACAAAGGGGCTCATTATGAGTCAGAATTGACTCAATGGCAGTTTTTCTTTTTTTTTTTTTTTTGGTATTGGGTCACTATGAGTCAGAATCATCTTGATGGCAATGGGTTTGATTAATGGGTGCTTTTAAGGCACTCAATCTAGCTGAAGTAAAAAATCAAAGCACAAAAAATATGGAATAGAAGATACAAGTTTAACAATATTGGAAAGTTATGTAGGGTCCCATTGCTATACAGTCGAATCTGAGTCACAGCAACCCTATAGAACATGGTAGAAGTACCCCCACAGGGTTTCCAAGGCTGTGATATTTACAGAAGCAGAATGCCACATCTTTCTCCTATGAAACAGCTGCCAGCTGCTTTCAGTTAGCAGTCAAGCACTTAACCACTGTGCCACCAGGCGGACCATATATATTGAAAGCTAATCGGTTCTGACTCATAGCAACCACTCCTTGAGTTTCCCAGGCAGTGGCTCTATGAAAGTCAATTGCCCAGTCTTCTTTCAGAGGAGTGGCTGGTGGGTTTGAACGACCAGCCTTCTGCTTGGCAGTCAAATGCCTTAGGTACTATGCCACCAGAGTGCCCTTTGTTTTAGTTGTTTTGGTGTAGTGCAATGGTACTCAAAAATGAAATGATTAAACAGAGCTTCAAGTTCCCAGATAAACAGATCTGTATTCAAATCTCTGCTCTTCCTTTTATGTTGGTGTAATTGTTACCTTGTGCAGGTAACCTAACATACCTAAATCTCATTTTCCTTATCTGTAAAATGCAGATAAAAATACTATCTCTTAGTTGATGTAAGCATTAAGTAAATGTTTCATACAATGTAAGAAAAGTAGAATGCAAGAATGCATGAACAGGAGTTCCACCAAGATGGCAGACTAGGCAGAAGGATTGCACAGACCCTCTTCAATAAAGAAAAGGGAAACCAATTAACACAGACACAGAAGATAATCGTGGACTCCCGAGCCTTGAAGGGAAGGATACAGAATTGGACTAAACCCCAATTAGCAGAAGAATTTGCATGAAAATACCAAAAAAAGGAGACATACGGAGCTGAGGTCTGACAGCGAACGGGGTGACCCTCACAGTACAGACGGCTCAGAGATCCCCGACTGGTGGTAGGACCTAAGAATTAACCTAAAAATCACCCGGCTAGCCAGGGACTGC